CTTTCTGAATAAAACTTCTTTTTTCATAGTTTTTCTCCGGAAATGAAGTTTTATCGAAGAAAATATATTTTAAAAAAAGTTTTAAAAAAGTTTTTAAATTCAAAAACCGCCGGCCAAAAGTCGCGGGGGACTAAGCTTCCAGGACTCAAAAAACTCTGCCATTTGACCAGTGCGGTGGAGTGCAGGCGTTCTGAAAAACATTCTTCTAATATAACTCGTTATTGATTTTTCATATATCAAGCCACGCCCCTCTGAAAAAGCGCTGCACGGGTTTTTTTGGTGTTTTTCCTTGACACCATTTTTCGAGGATTCCAGACATAGTTTTCAAGGGTTTGTATTCATTTTCTATTCAATGTGAACGAGATTTATCTTTTCAAGTTTTCTACGCAAGAGGCTGCGAAGCACAACCTCTTACTTTTTTTTTCGCTCCCTTTGAATCCGCATTAAACCAAAACTGCTTTCGCTCTATTCCTGATTCCCCATTTTTTCCAATCCAATTTCCCAAAAAAAACCCTCTAATCCCTATTTTCCATTTTCTCCGTTTTAGTGATCTCAAGCCGGCTCAGCACCGCGTCAGGCGCCGTTGTTTCTCTCTAATGCTGTTTCTGATCTCCATGGCTCCATAAAAATTTCAATCCAGGGCTGTCACGAGAGAGTTAGTGATACGGAGAGACACAAAAAACGGGTTGCTAGGAGATTTTCGACGCTCCTCCCGAGCGCCGCTTCTTCTTTTCCTTTCATCCATTTCATTTTCATCCTCTCCTTGGCTCAAATCTTGTTGTCGAGCCAAGATGGCTGACCAAGTTACATCTGAAAATTCGACCATGAGCTCGATGGAAATATGCGCTCGAGATGTTAGCCTCATCGAGTCGTTCATTTTCTCTGGAATCGTATTCTATGTATTCATGTTCGCCATGCAGAAAATCGTCTCATTTTGCATCAACTATCGTACTGATAAGGTAGGAGGCTCAACAATTTTCAGGAACACATCTAGGTTTTCAGAAGATAACTATCCCTTATGAATGCACACTCTTCTCCAAAATCATTGCATTTAATGAAATGACAGTGTGCTGCTTCTCCGTTTTCTTTTTGATCTACTACGCGCTGAAATACAACACTTACTTTCCATGGATCTTCTATTCGTGGGGACCACTTTTGGGCTTGTTCGCAGTCACAAAGTTGCTCACAGAGATGCTCACGATTGCTATCGCTCTTGTGGCGATTTCTGTCTACTTGTACCACTTGACACTACATCAATCAGGTTGGCAATGGTCGGATGAATTGATTTGTGCTGTTTGGAGGGTCATCTCCAGCTTCGTTTTCCTCAAGGAGACTGTTATTGCGGTCTGGATTCTTGTCGCCTCCCTTCTGATGAGCCATCCCTGGCAAGTTCTCGAGTACTACTATGTAAGTTTTCCAACTGTCAGAGGAGACACAAAAGAACTCTATTTAAGGGAATCCATATCTCGGTTCACATCTTCTTCTCCTGTCTGTGATTGTAAGATTCATGCCAGGAAGAAAGGCATGGAACGAATTGAGCAACTCTGAGAAAATGGTCAACAAGCAGGCTTTCCATCTGATGTGTTTCCAATTGGTAAGCCTGCATAAGCTAGAGCTTATAAGTTAGAACTCTGTTTTTTTTTTGAGCCAGTCCTCGCCAACGTGATCTACTACTCGTATGGAGGTGTGGGCCATGGAACAATGATGCTTTCTTGGATCTTCATGAGCATCTTCCTCCTCCCACTATCGATTCGTTATTTGGAAATGGTAGAACAAATCAAGACAAGGCTTTTGGACGCAAATGAAGATGCAACTGGATGCACCGAGATGGGACCATTGTGAATACGACACGTTTTACTTCTGATGCTTTTTTGCTTTTCTAATGCTTTTTCCTGAGAGCTAGAATTTCTATAGTAATTGACAAACGCAGACTGAAAATAAATAGTTTATTGGGGCTTATAGCAAATTGGTAACTGGAATCTTTGCACGAATCTGAGAAACGTTTTGGGAAGGCAATATTAAAGAGTGTGCTCTTTATCTGAAAACAGTGGATCGTCAGCTGTTCAGATTTAACCTCACAATGAATGAACAAATGGCTTACAACAGAGCGTCGGATGTCTCCTCTGATAGTGCTCTGTGGCGGTGCTTGCTCTTCGATTAAAACTGTGGCACATGGTGAATTTGAATCTTAACAAGTCATAGTTTAAACTTCAACAGATATATTAAATAGGTTGTTTGGAAAGTTCCTCCCATTTTTGATGTACTGTTTTCAAACTCGGTTTTTATGAACGGGGTAAAAGAAGGAGCTGTCGTTTTATCACTATATTGGTGGGGTCAAATAGTGTTTACACCCTAATGGAGATCATTCTCCTCTTCTTGTGAAGTGAGATATGCCCTTCGTTTTCACCCCTAACAATTGACATTTTTGGATGAAAATTTTATTTTAATTTCTGTCTGACCTGAAGATTGCTGAAACCAAATGCCAATTAATGGAGGTTTACAACGAAGGTTCACCGTTTCGAACTACCATCACAACCTGGATTCATCAATTTGAAAAATGAGAATTCTCGTTGGACGAAAATCTCCCTCCAAAAAGAAACCCATTTCCAACTGGGCGGGATATATCAAGTACATCAGTGGCAATCTTTTTGCCAAAAAGCTATTAATTGGAAACTCTCGGCAAAGTAAAAAAAAGTGGAAGGATATGGACCACACATTCGGCTCAACGCAACCTTTATTCACCTACGGACACCTTTTTGAATCTTCGCAGAATTTCTATCTATCTTTAACACTATTTCCAAAACACGTCAAGATGTTTTAACTTCTTTTAACATTAAAATTTTGTGGCTATTTTATTCCAAATCTATCAACCTGGACTGAATTGGAAACAAATGGTCAAAGAAGCTATGCGATTCCATGTAGAGTGAAACACACATTTCATTTCACCTCACATTTCACCTCACATTTCATTTCACATTCATTTCACCTCAACTATTTTACAATGTCATTTGAAAATCTTTTCAGTTTGAATCTCTCCTCCAATTGAATCTCAAGAAAAAAATTTTTCATATAAGTGTCTTGGCCAGATAGATTGCAGACACATGGGTTGTTATGATGACTTAGCTGTTGAAAACATGCTTGAAGGCCTAATCTATATTTGAAACATGTTAGTAATCACAAGACTGAATGCTTAAATGATTTATTTTAGAGAAAAGAAAAATTATCGGTTATTTTTTTCAATTTTTTCCATTGTCCCCATGATTCTCTTCAGCTTGTCCAGATACTTCGGCACCAATATCAGCAGCAAACTCGGCAGCGAATGAAGTAGACACCTCTACACTTGCTTGTGCGGCAAGGTTAGCAGCAAATTCAGAAGCAAGGGTAGCAGCTGCTTCGGCGGTGATGCCTGCCGGAGCATCAATCTGGGCAGAAATTTTGGCAGCGAAGGAAGTACAAGCTGAAATAGCAGCTTCAGCGTTAGCAGTTCCGGATGCTTCAATTTTAGCGGCAATGTTAGCGGAAAACTCGGCAATAAGGGAGTTGATAGCATTGGCATCTGCATTTGCATTGATTTCTGCATTTTCATTTAGCTTGGCAGAAATGGCAGCTGAAATATCGGCAGTCAATTGAGAAGATGGTTCGAGGCTTCCGTGAGCTTGTGCGGAAAGCTGAGCAGCAAGTTCAGCGACGATCGAAGCGGCTGCTTGAAGGTTAGCATCAGCACTTCCTTGAGCTTCAGCAGAAAGTTGAGCCGATACATCAGCGACAATTGAAGCTGTGGCATCGAAACTAGCGTGAGCTTCTGCAGAGAACGAGGCAACGACATTGGCGACGATTGTTGCAGCAGCTTGGCTATCCACGTTTCCAACGACATGTCCCGAAAGTTCGGCCATAATATGTGCGGCTGCTTGAAGATCAACATTTCCGTTTGCTTGGCGGACGATCCAGCGTTGAGGGCTCCTTGAAGGGCTCCAGTGGCAGTAGCACCAATGTTTCCAGCGACATTACCAGTGGCACCAAGATTGCTCAAAATCTGGAACAATTATACAATGCAACATCTCATTGATTTTAACTTACTCCAGATGTCACGGTGGGCAACTTGATGAGTCCACAATTCGCCACAGCGAGAGTGACCGCAAGGAGAAGAGTCGATTCGAATGCAGACATTCTGAAAATACGAACGCTTTTGAGATGCTGAAGTGAGAATAAGCAAAATGTGAAATGTGATATTTTACTGTTTCGGGGGCATCCTTTTATATATTTTCGGTTGTTAAGATGTGCCTACTTGCCTACATGGGAAATTGATTACATTCTATTGTATCCATTGTGTTCAGAGCTTCCTTTTCCATCGTTTCTGGCAATAATATTATGTAATGGGAGGAATCTTTGACCTGGGATATATTTGGTATTTTTATAAATATTCAATGAAAAGATACGGCCAAAATTGTTCTGATGTGGAAATAATCACTTCCTTCAGGTTCGATTCTCAAATAACTTCTCGGGCCCTTGATTCTGGTACGTTGCTTCTGACCTACAGTAGTCGTCTAAATTCTCCCAAATAATTTTTTTGTTTGAAAACACTACAAAAACATTTGTATATGTCTGGTCGCACGTTTCTAAATATCCAAAATATCACCTGGGAGTAGAATATCAAGAAGAATATCGAGGGGCTTGAAACTAATTCTCTTAACATTTCAATCTTTCGAATCAAGTGAACAAAATCTGCTGTAATTTTAAAAAATTCGAATCTGTTTATTTTTATTTTGTTATATTTCTGTTAATGGATATCTCCCGAATAAAGTTACACATTTTTCAAAACTAGAAAAAATCATATTTCTCGCGAAAATATGTTCATAATTTCGGTTGCCATGGGAAACGCTTCTCCCCTGACATTTTCTAATTCAGCTTTATATTTACTCGTTGTCCACTGTCTCCTCACCTAATGGACAAGCAAGCTCCAAAAGAAGCGCTTCTCAAAAACACTCTATCAATTTTGTACAACTTCCCTGTGATATACAAAAATGATGAAACTTTTTGGTGCTTTGTTTATCTCGTTTATTCATTGACTTTATTTTACCTCGTGTTTAGGTATATCCGGAGATGTGCATTCGGAATCACTCGAGTGCTTTCTAAGAGAGTGAGTTTTAAAAGAGGGGGAAATGAAAAATAGATTCTTCGAGGTTTTCTTCATATAAGCCCTTTGAGGAGTTGAACTTATGGTTCCAACTTCAGAGGTCCCGCGTTTCTAGATTAGGTGTGGTAGCGGAAGATACGCTTCCAACGCTGGGCTCACAAGTTCAACTCCCCATAGGGCTTAAATGAAAGAAAAAATGAAAGAAAAGTTATTTTCTTAAATGAAAGAAAAAAATGAAAGAAACGATATTTTCCATGTCTCCCTCCCTTTAAACATCTCTAATATATCAATTTAGTGTCCCAACACCTACCGAATGACGTTTTTTTTTGTTTGGAATGATTTCTGCTTATTACTGTGGATTATATCCTTTGTGTTCTTTGTTTTATCAAAAATGCTGATATCAGAATCCTCCAATTTCCATATCATCTCACTAATGCTCCCTAACATCGTATATGCACCTGCAATGGTTTTGACGGATGTCTATCTAGTTTTAATATCATTTTACTCAATTTTCAAAATGCTCATTTGCTATAAAGCATCAGCTGAAGTGTTTGTTTGGCGGCTAATGAGAGGCTCTCAATTTTGGATGATGCTGAAACTTTCTGTGACGATTTTATGGGTTGGATACGATCTTGTAATACGCGGAGAAATTGGAGAGTTGTTAATTTCTTGTAGTCTGGTTGGTTTGAAAATTTCGAACGCCTCTTTATTTGAATTTTCAGTGTCTCAAATTTTCAACGACGATCTTCTTATTCATATCACTGTTATTTTTGATCCCGAAATTTTTCCTAGCATCGATGAAACTGAAAAATGCGAGTGTTTTAGAAAAAGTACTATTTTTTCATGTTTTCGGAATGATTGTTGGAAAAACGGCAAGCTATTATGAGTCTGGAAAAAATAACCAAAATTCTTCAATTTCAGATTTTGGCAATTGTGATTTCGTTTTTAGACTATTTCGAAGTGGACCAGTATTTGGTGAACTAGAAACAAAACTTATTGGAATAAAAAAAATTCTTTCAGCTTATGACAACATTCTTGTTTGTGGACCCTATTATGATTGGTACTATTGCTCAGGTTTCGGAAATTTTGTTCTATAGACCGCGGAAACAGAAAATCAATTCTATGGAAATGATGTTCGATATTAGAAAATCTTCTGAATAATCTTAATCGTCAATTTTTGCAATAAACTTTTGAAATTTCAAAGCGCAATACAATCCTTAATTACATGTTGATAACAAAACATCGAAAAATTTCTTGCTTCAAAAATTCTCACATCATTTTGCTATCTTAAAAATCACTCAACCTTTTCAGAATTCTTCTGGGCAAGTCTAACACATACGCTCTCTAGTCACCTGGTAACACAAACTTAGGCAATGTAATTATAGACTTTCAGCTGTGTATAAAAGCTGAATTTTTTTTTCAAAAACTAAAAACATGAATTTCTTCCCATATGGATTCTCAAAAGAAGAAGTTTATAAGCAACTTGTGGAAGTGGAAGATATCATTTATTTCGCAATATTTTTAATTCCTCTGATATTGTGTAATGCGGTAATTCGACTCGTCCACTATTTCATTTTTGAAGATAACAAGAAGCAGAGGGACTCGGTAAGTGTGGACCCATCAACTTGAAGCCAATTTATGTCGATTCCTGTAAGAGATATCAAAAATTTGTCAACAGATAAAATGTTTTTGATACTATGATAAACATTTTGCCAGTTAATCATCTTTTTTATATCTTTCACAGGAAACGTGAAAAATGACCTGTAAGAAAAGGACCACCTAAATTTGAGCCAAGTTATCTTGGTTGTTGCAAAATATATCAAAAAGGCATTAACTGATAAATTGTTTATCATAATATCAAAAAATTTTTAGCAGTTGGTAGGTTTCTGATACCTTGCTTAGAAATTGAGACAATTGAAATCAAACTTGACATTTCGGATTTATATGGCAATCATTCAAACTATATATAACTTTTTCAGAACTCTGTATTCCCTTTATTTGTCCAATCCACCCAGTTTAGTCATAGACTGATGACTCTGATCCATATCATCTTTTTTCTTCACAACATTTGTCACATATTCCATCTGGAATGGCTAGTTGATGTTCTGTGGTACCCAATGTGGATCAATGCATATCTTATCAAAGTCTATACCGAAATATACATTGTCGTCATTTCCCTGCTTTCCGTTTCCCGTTATTTTGTGCACTTTTCGCTAGCATTGCCTTCAGTGGAGTTGACCCAAAAGTCAGTGACATCAGAAATCCGATGGATTGCTGGCCTCTCATTTCCAAAGACTTGGTGTTGTTTTTATGGTTGATTGTCATCATGGAATTGAAAAAGTTTCACCAAATTCATACAATTTCGGACTACTATTATGTAGGTCAAAGAGGTCAAATCATTTCCAGATTTGTGAACTCTAATTTCAGGGGATCCATTTGAACTACCAATTTCTTTTGTACATCGCTGCTATCATACAACTTCCGATTATTAGTGGAGCCAAAAAGTCTTCAGATTCTGAAATAAATTATTTAGAAAAAATGGTGTGTTTTCAAACTGTGGGCATTGGATTCATTAAAATGAGCATGATCCCGATATTTCTGACGCTTCTCTTCAAAGGAGTCAATGACACTGTGGTGAGAATTTATTATTTTTTGGCCCAAAAATTGTTTTTCAGATCTCCGTACTCTTTGTCATGGTTGATTTGTTTATTGTTCCAATTGTTGCTCAAATCTCGGAATTCTTGTACCGCCCAAGAGCAGCAGTAGCGACACAGTCTTAATTCAAATTTTACTATAATTAATAAACAAATTGAGTAATTGACAGTGTTTAATGGACGATGAAGGGGCATGAGAAAAAATTTTTGCGAAAAAGTTCACTGTTTGGAAATTTTCTGATTTTTTGGATGTTTTTTAATCATGAATCTGAAAAAAAAAGAAAACGATCGTGAATGTGAAATATAAAATTTTTTAACATGGCAAGTGAGTCTTTGGCCAATTTCCAGGCGAATATAACCTCATTAAGATACAATTCTGCGTATGGTGTGGTTGTTCAAAGTGTCAACTAGAGGTTTTTGGCATCTGAACTTCTACTATCGTTCCTAATGTTATCAATATAGGGTACTGTATATTTAATTTCAGTTTAATTTTTTTCAAAACTTCCTAAAGGATGACATCCAAATTGTCTACGGATTTGACTGGAGGAAGTAAAATATGTTTACCATAATATTATTATCCTTTCATCAAATATCCATGAAAGCACCAAAATATCTCCCAGTTAAAAGATTCCTCCCATTTCATAATATTATTGCCAGAAACGATGGATTGATGGGAGCTCTGAACACAATGGATACAATAGAATGTAATCAATTTCCCATGTAGGCAAGTAGGCACATCTTAACAACCGAAAATATATAAAAGGATGCCCCCGAAACAGTAAAATATCACATTTCACATTTTGCTTATTCTCACTTCAGCATCTCAAAAGCGTTCGTATTTTCAGAATGTCTGCATTCAAATTGACTCTTCTCCTTGCGGTCACTCTCGCTGTGGCGAATTGTGGACTCATCAAGTTGCCCACCGTGACATCTGGAGTAAGTTAAAATCAATGAGATGTTGCATTGTATAATTTTTCCAGATTTTGAGCAATCTTGGTGCCACTGGTAATGTCGCTGGAAACATTGGTGCTACTGCCACTGGAGCCCTTCAAGGAGCCCTCAACACTGGATCGTCCGCCACAGGAGCTGTCAACGCTGTAGGCAACGTTGGAACAGCTGCCACTGGTGCAATTGGAGGAGCCGTTGATGCTGCTGGAAATATTGTCGCGTCTGCAACTGCCCAACTTTCTTCTCAGTTTTCCGCTGACCTCGTTGCTCAGCTTGCAGGAGTTGCAAACGCAGCCGCCGTTGGTTCGATTGCATTTGACTTTGTTGGGTCAATTGCTGCTCAAGCTCAAGCCGCTGGAAACATCGATACTAATGCTATTGGTTCCCTTGCCGCGAACTTTGCTGCTGATCTTTCCGGAGCCATTGGAGGAACTGTAGACGAAGAAGCTATTAGTTCTATCACTGTTGACTTTGCTGAGAAACTTAATGCTCTTTTTGCAACCACCGGAGAAATTACCGCTGATGATATTGCTACTCTTGCTGCTGAGTTTGCTACCGAAATTGCTGCGCAGGAATCTGGAAGTGTCAATGGAGTTGTCAATGGTGCTGCTGGAATTTCCGGAAATGCCAATGCTGCTATCAACGCTGCTGTTAATGCTGCTGTGAATGCTGCAGCCGAGGCCTCTGGATCTGCCGAAATTGTTGCTAACCTTGCTGCTGAACTCGAAGCCCAAGCAAACGGAAATGTTGATCTTCAAACAGCCGCACATATTATGGCCGAACTTTCGGGACATGTCGTTGGAAACGTGGATAGCCAAGCTGCTGCATCAATCGTGGCCAATTTTGTTGCCTCGTTCTTTGCAGAAGCTCACGCTAGTTTCGATGCCACAGCTTCAATTGTCGCTGATGTATCGGCTCAACTTTCTGCTGAAGCTCAAGGAAGTGCTGATGCTAACCTTCAAGCAGCCGCTTCGATCGTCGCTGAACTTGCTGCTCAGCTTTCCGCACAAGCTCACGGAAGCCTCGAACCATCATCTCAATTGACTGCCGATATTTCAGCTGCCATTTCTGCCAAGCTAAATGAAAATGCAGAAATCAATGCAAATGCAGATGCCAATGCTATCAACTCCCTTATTGCTGAGTTTTCCGCTAACATTGCCGCTAAAATTGAAGCATCCGGAACTGCTAACGCTCAAGCTGCTATTTCAGCTTGTACTTCCTTCGTTGCCCAAATTTCTGCCCAGATTGATGCTTCGGCAGGCATCACTGCCGAAGCAGCTGCTACCCTTGCTTCTGAATTTGCTGCTAACCTTGCCGCACAAGCAAGTGTAGAGGTGTCTACTTCATTCGCTGCCGAGTTTGCTGCTGATATTGGTGCCGAAGTATCTGGACAAGCTGAAGAGAATCATGGGGACAATGGAAAAAATTGAAAACAATAACCGATAATTTTTCTCTTCTCTAAAATAAATCATTTAAGCATTCAGTCTTGTGATTACTAACATGTTTTAAATATAGCACATATTATGGCCGAACTTTCTGCCGAACTTTCGGGTCAAGTTAACGGAATCGTAGATGACCAAACTGCTGCTTCAATTGTGGCCAATGTTGTTGCCACTTTCTCTGCACAAGCTCACGCTAATTTCGATGCCACGGCTTCAATTGTCGCTGATGTGTCTGCTCAACTATCTGCTGAAGCTCAAGGAAGTGCTAATGCTAAGCTTCAAGCAGCTGCTTCTATCGTCGCCGAACTTCCAGCTCAGCTTTCCGCACACGATCACGGAAGCCTCGAAGCGTCTTCTGAATTGGCTGCCAATATTTCAGCTGCCATCTCTGCCAATCTCGAAGTCAGTCCGAATGCAGATGCCAATGCCATTAATTCTCTTATTACTAATTTTTCCGCCAAAATTGCTGCTGAAATCGAAACAAAGGGAACTCCTTTCCCTGAAGCTGCTATTTCAGCTGCTGGTACTTTTGCCACTCAGATCACTGCCGAGCTTGATGAGGAAGGAGAAGTCTCCGCCGCAGCCGATGCTCAACTTGGTGATGCCTTTCCTCATGATGTTTTTGTACATGCACAGATGAAAATGACTGCTTCTTACGCTGCCGAGTTTGCTGCTGAAGTTGGTGCCAAAACATCTGGCCAAGCCAATGCTGAAGGAAAGAAATAACTTTCGGAAAAACAACTGATAATTTTTTCTCTTTAACATAAATCATTTAAGCATTCAATCTTGTGTTTTATTAGAATTTCAGAACTTTCATTCATCAATCGAGCCACAAGTTCAGAACTACCATTCAAGTCTGAGCTTAATTTTAGTGTGAGTACTCGAATTGAAATAGGAAAGGCTGAACATTCAAGCAACTAAGCATACTGTAGGTTCGATTACGCCTCTTTGAATAAAAACTAGAGATAGAGAAAGTAGAAAATCGTCAAAAAGGTGAAAAAAGTAGAAAGACCAGCGTTGATTTATGTAGTCTACTTCCTGATCTAGACCCTTCAGAATAAACATATAAATCATGAGGCTACTTGAAATTTGGAGGATTCGTTTCCATGGACACCTTTGTCGCGAAATTCTCAAAAGATCTCAAAAGAATCTACAACGTTCAACAATGGCCAACACTACAACCTATTTAGAAACAAAAACTATAAGTTTTATGGAAGTGTACATAACTATTGGAATTTATTCTCTATATTCTTGGTTGCCTTGTACATTCGCTTTCCAGATGTTGTAACCGAGAGATAAGTTTTGGGATTCAAACTTTGTTCCGGAAAATTGAAATTTCAGATTCGCCCCGCTTCGAATTCGTTGTTCGTTTACAACGATGCTTTTAGTCTGAACGACATGATTGTGAGAGCTACAGTAGTCTCATTCCTCGTTTATTTCGTATCAAAGCTATCCCTTGAATCTCGCCTAACTGCTATATGGTTGCACTGTACAATGATCCTTCTTCTATTGGGATCATTGATCACTGAAGTGATAACTATCACTATGCAACTGATATCAATATCAGTTCACTTGAAGCCAGGATGTTGGAAGTGGACAGAAATAAATCTCAGAGCTCTTATACGTTTGGCTTCTATCTTTGTAACCATCAAAGGGATCACTTTCTGGGTAATATTAGAAAACTATCCAAATAAGTTCGACATTTTCAATTGGGTGTATTTTCTAGATTCTTACTCTGTAAGTTCCAATTTCTGGTTTCTCTACTGAAAACATTTTCAGATTTTCTACTTATTTTCTCAACTGGTATTTTTTCGAAAGGGTGGATGCTAACATTTGATTTTGCGCTCGAATTGAATAATACATATATTTTTTGTTGTTGTCTAGTGAACCGTAAATCATAGACGTATGAAACATTTTGTCAGGATTATTTTAGAAAACAATGTTGTCAGTTTTTGCTCGAGAATTTAATTGTTGTCCTCAGCAGTGGCTTCAGCATGTCCAGATACTTCGGCACCAACTGCAGCAGCAAACTCGGCTGCGAATGAAGCAGTCACGTTAACATTCGCTTTTGCGGTAAGATCAGCAGCGAAACTAGCAGAAAGTTCAGCAGCTGCTTCGGCGGTGATGGTTGCTCCAGCATCAATTTGGGCAGAATATCAATTCATGGATGATAACGAAATTGAGTTCAAAAATTGTGATATTGTGTTAAGGAATTCGTCTGCTTCATGAAAAAACATTTTGTTCCGCTATTAAAATTCTGGGAATTTTGAAAAGAAACTTTCTATCAGCTATAAAATTTCTCCGTGTAGGTGTATTCCTATAGTTCCGCTTTTCCAAACTGATATCTGACAACTCATTCAGAGAGCAAATAAAATAGATGCGTTGAGAGCACCCCTCTCTACCATGCTGGAAACAGATGATAACATAATTCACATAAAAAGACGCTAGAATCGGGAGATAAGGCAGTTGGAGCAAGAAGTGAAGAAAATGGCGGCGATGGTTGTTACTACAAAGGTACGGTAGGATTTTTAATTTAGGAAAAACTGTTTTTTTTTCAGATTACAGACTTCTATGAGCCATACCAAGAGTTTTGTCCCAGATGTCAGGTGAGTATAGAACGACCGGGTGAACGTTACAGTGATCTTTGGGAATTTGTGGCAAAGGGACGGGGTGTTTTTAGCCTATCTCATGTGAAAATAGCTGATTTTTTTAGCATTGAAATTGATATTTTTCGGCAGAAATCGCGCCCTAACGACCCTGGGGTATCTTATCCATGTACTTATATTTTTGATTTGGTTTATCTCGTCTACCCTGCGATTTCGTTGGAACGCGATTTCTGACAGGAGCGTTTTGAGCCCATCTGTCTTAGTCCTCAAATTTAATAATGTTCCAATTAAGAATACCTCCATGACCCGAATCGAGAGAACGCTCGGAAACTGTTGGTGGATCACATGTGTTCTCGGATGCATCTTCTTCTTCCCACTGTGCTACTGGCTCTGTTGTGCATCTTCCAAGGACACCAAACACTTTTGCCCATCTTGTGGCTCATTATTGGCTATCCGAAAGGGTGGATGCTAACATTTGATTTTGCGCTCGAATTGAATAATACATATATTTTTTGTTGTTGTCTAGTGAACCGTAAATCATAGACGTATGAAACATTTTGTCAGGATTATTTTAGAAAACAATGTTGTCAGTTTTTGCTCGAGAATTTAATTGTTGTCCTCAGCAGTGGCTTCAGCATGTCCAGATACTTCGGCACCAACTGCAGCAGCAAACTCGGCAGCGAATGAAGCAGTCACGTTAACATTCGCTTTTGCGGTAAGATCAGCAGCGAAACTAGCAGAAAGTTCAGCAGCTGCTTCGGCGGTGATGGTTGCTCCAGCATCAATTTGGGCAGAAATTTGGGCAGCCAAGGAAGTACAAGCTGAAATAGCAGCTTCAGCGTTAGCAGTTCCGGATACTTCAATTTCAGCGGCAATGTTGGCAGAAAACTTGGCAATGAGGGAGTTGATAGCATTAGCATCTGCATTTTCATTGATTTCTGCATTTGCATAAAGCTTGGCAGAAACGGCAGCTGAAATATCGGCAGTCAATTGAGAAGATGGTTCGAGGCTTCTGTGAGCTTGTGCGGAAAGCTGAGCAGCAAGTTCAGCGACGATCGAAGCGGCTGCTTGAAGGTTAGCATCAGCACTTCCTAGAGCTTTAGCAGAAAGTTGAGCAGACACATCTGCAACAATTGAAGCCGTGGCATCGAAACTAGCGTGAGCTTCTGCAAAGAACAAGGCAACAAAATTGGCGACGATTGATGCAGCAGCTTGGCTATCCACGTTTCCAACGACATGTCCCGAAAGTTCGGCCGTAATATGTGCGGCTGCTTGAAGATCAACATTTCCGTTTGCTTGGGCTTCGAGTTCAGCAGCAAGTTTAGCAACAATTTTAGCAGATCCAGAGGCCTCGGATGCAGCATTCACAGCAGCATTAACAGCAGCGTTGATAGCAGCATTGGCATTTCCGGAAATTCCAGCAGCTCCATTGACAACCCCATTGACACTTCCAGATTCCTGCGCAGCAATTTCGGTAGCAAACTCAGCAGCAAGAGTAGCAATATCATCAGCGGTAATTTCTCCGGTTGTTGAACAGCATTGACGTCAATGTTTCCAGCGGCTTGAGCTTGAGCAGCAATTGACCCAACAAAGTCAAATGCAATCGAACCAACGGCGGCTGCGTTTGCAACTCCTGCAAGCTGAGCAACGAGGTCAGCGGAAAACTGAGAAGAGCAGTTGCAGACGCGACAATATTTCCAGCAGCATCAACGGCTCCTCCAATTGCACCAGTGGCAGCTGTTCCAACGTTGCCTACAGCGTTGACAGCTCCTGTGGCGGACGATCCAGTGTTGAGGGCTCCTTGAAGGGCTCCAGTGGCAGTAGCACCAATGTTTCCAGCGACATTACCAGTGGCACCAAGATTGCTCAAAATCTGGAACAATTATACAATGCAACATCTCATTGATTTTAACTTACTCCAGATGGCACGGTGGGCAACTTGATGAGTCCACAATTCGCCACAGCAAGGGTGACCGCAAGGAGAAGAGTCGATTTGAATGCAGACATTCTGAAAATACGAACGCTTTTGAGATGCTGAAGTGAGAATAAGCAAAATGTGATATTCTACTGTTCCGGGGCCATCCTTTTATATACTTTCGGTTGTTATGATGTGTTGATTCACCTACATGGAACGTTGGTTACATTTTATTGTATCTATTGTATTCACAGCTTCCTCTTCCATCGTTTCTGGCAATAATATTATGGTGCGGAAGGAATCTTTGACCTGGGAGATATCTCTGTTCACTCACAGATGTTCGAAAAAATGATATGACCAATATTGTTATGATTGGAATCTTCATTTCCTACATAGCATCCTGGAAATATTTGAAAAAAAATAATTAAAAATAAAGTGATTTTAGCCTCAAGTGTTTTTATTTCTTTGTCAGAATCTTGGATATGAAAGAAATTCTCATGGTTGCTGTAATTATAGTTTTACTTTCAATGTTTCATAATGTTACAGAACTAAACATTTCAAACTTTCGGTTCAAAAATTGTGATATTGTGTTAAGGAATTCGTCTGCTTCATGAAAAAACATTTTGTTCCGCTATTAAAATTCTGGGAATTTTGAAAAGAAACTTTCTATCAGCTATAAAATTTCTCCGTGTAGGTGTATTCCTATAGTTCCGCTTTTCCAAACTGATATCTGACAACTCATTCAGAGAGCAAATAAAATAGATGCGTTGAGAGCACCCCTCTCTACCATGCTGGAAACAGATGATAACATAATTCACATAAAAAGACGCTAGAATCGGGAGATAAGGCAGTTGGAGCAAGAAGTGAAGAAAATGGCGGCGATGGTTGTTACTACAAAGGTACGGTAGGATTTTTAATGTAGGAAAAACTGTTTTTTTTTTCAGATTACAGACTTCTATGAGCCATACCAAGAGTTTTGTCCCAGATGTCAGGTGAGTATAGAACGACCGGGTGAACGTTACAGTGATCTTTTGGAATTTGTGGCAAAGGGACGGGGTGTTTTTAGTCTCATGTGAAAATAGCTGATTTTTTTAGCATTGAAATTGATATTTTTTGGCAGAAATCGCGCCCTAACAAACCTGGGGTATCTTATCCATGTACCTATTAGGTTGTTCAATAAATAGTGGTCACTTTTCTTCAAGTAGTTTTTTCTTCAAGGAAAACAAGAATCATTGAGAAATTATTTCGCCATTGGAGTTCATAACTTCTTGCCAGCGCAACGGAAGTTGGGCAATTCCGTTCGCGTAGAACTCTGGCGACTTAGAGGCAAAACAGTGTTCCAAAAATTTCTTGACATCCTTCCGATCATGGACTTTCTCACCAGCAAGACGATTCTGGAGAAATCGGATATGGTAGTAATTAGCTAGTGCCAGGTCGGCGGTGTACGATGGGCAATGCAAAACTTCGATTCCTAGAAGATGGAGTTTGTAATGGCTCTTCGAATATTTGTGTGGTTTTTCGTTGTCATGCAAAAATTTCAACACTGAGCCTCTCTAGAGGTGAGAGCGATGTGCATAAATACCACTTTCTATTTGAAAGCAGTAGAGCCAAAGTTGATGACATAGAAATCCGGAAGCAGCTTGCGGTATTTTACTTCAGTACTGTCTAACCGAATCGGAAAAATCTGATTTTTTTTCTTGAAGGTTGCCTTTTGAGACCGATTCCACCGTTTCCTTTGCAGAGAGCCATAGGTGCTTACTGGCATTGTTAACATACAGTACCCGTTCATCATCTCCAATGATTGTTTTGTTGACCCCGTCCGTCGTCGGTTTCCTGGAGAGGAGAGAAACGGACAGGTCTCATCGGACCTTTTTCTAAAAATTGGTCAAAATGTGGGGAATGATTTGATCGACTCTCCGAGCTCTTCCCGTTTGAGGAACATGATCTGTTACGGTGCTATTAGGATGGTGGGCTGTCAAAGATAATGCACGCAAAGTAGCACAGAGCTTTTCCTCCAGTATCATTAAAATATTTTCATTTTTATTAAGGCTAGGCCTTTTGGGTATTGGTTTATGATCCAGATCATAATTTTCTTATTCGAATCTTTTGAACCAAATTTCAAACGTGGTTCGAGAGATGAGGTCTACGTCTAACATTTTGCACTCTGCTCGCTAATGGTCGTTGTTCGAGAGACCTTGGAAACATATGATCAAAGAAACACTTTTGAGTATGTGTCCGTTATCGAGAAAATCCTCGGCCGTTAGACAGTCCATTCGGAATTTTTAAATGTCTATTAAACATGCAATGTGTGACGTCTATAAATATAAAAACAGAATTGAAAAAAAAAACCCAAAATTGGATAAGCAACGGTAGAGCGAAGTGAAAGTGACCACTATTTATTGAACAACCTAATATATTTTTGATTTGGTTTATCTCGTCTACCCTGCGATTTCGTTGGAACGCGATTTCTGACAGGAGCGTTTTGAGCCCATCTGCCTTAGTCCTCAAATTTAATAATGTTCCAATTAAGAATACATCCATGACCCGTATCGAGAGAACGCTCGGAAACTGTTGGTGGATCACATGTGTTCTCGGATGCATCTTCTTCTTCCCACTGTGCTACTGGCTCTGTTGTGCATCTTCCAAGGACACCAAACACTTTTGCCCATCTTGTGGCTCATTATTGGCTATCCGAAAGGGTGGATGCTAACATTTGATTTTTCAATTCCTCTGAATTTCCGATTTGAAATAAATAAAAAGAAATTGGTCTGTTTCATCCAACATTTAGCTACAAAAACCTTTCTAACAATAGTTCCGCTTTTCCCCGATTCATATCACACAACTCATTGAGAAAGCAAACGTAATAAAATTCATATAAAAAATACGCTAGAATACGATAGAATGGCAGTTGGACCAGAAGTGAGAAAATGGCGGCGTGCAATTTAGCTACAAAGGTACGGTAGGAATGTTAGATTTCAAAAATTGGTTTTTTTTAAGATGACGATGTTCTATGAGCCGTATATGGAGTTTTGTGCCAAATGTGAGGTTAGTAAAAAACCAGGGCGAATAGTACAGTAATCATTTTTAGATAGCCGATTTTCGGCACTAAAATTAATACATTGGCTAAAACTGGCGAGAAAATTCTAGAATTTTCAAAGGTGTCCAAATAGGCAATCTTTAGCCAATTTTAGAAAAAAAAATAAACTTTCATTATTTCATAGTTTCGGTAACATACTTCTGGAATTCCTGTCAGAAATCGCGCCCTAACGAACCTGGGGTATCTTATCCATGTACCTACATTTTTGATTTGGTTTATCTCGTCTATCCTGCGACTTCGTTGGAACGCGATTTCTGGCAGGAGGGTTTTGAGCCCATCTGCCTTAGTCCTCAATTTTAATAATGTTCCAATTAAGAATACCTACATGACCCGTATTGAAAGAACTCGCGGAAACTGTTGGTGGATCGCATTTGCTATCGGATGCATCTTCTTCTTCCCACTGTGCTACTGGCTCTGTTGTGCATCTGCCAAGGACACCAAACACTTTTGCCCATCTTGTGGCACATTATTGGCCATCCGAAAGGGTGGATGCTAAAACTTGATTTTTTGAATTTCAAAAAAAGTGATAAAATAGTTTATTTGCATTCAAATTTCGATAAAATCGCAAACGAAGTGACTAACACCGGGAAAAAGAATGATAAGGAGGCCATGTGTGGGTAACGATGAGGCTAGAAACGAAAAGGGGTTCACAAGATCAATTTTGATTTTATTGATGTCCTGAAAAAGTATTTCAGAAATTTTCAGAACTTTCTTGTAAAATTTCGGTTTGATAAGGTATGGAACAAAAGAAAAAAATTAGCACTAAAATGAGATATGTGTCGTTTGGAAACCGCTTTTCTCGTTTCGTTGAATTTGGGCAAATAAGTTGTCAACTACAAAAATGAAGAATTATTTTTATGCAGTGTTTGCTAAAATTTTCAGAAAAATCGAAAAAGTTTGGACTACTTTTTCAGGACTTCGAAGTTGGTTAATTGTACTGAAAAAATCAAAAAATGATTCCGTGGTTGTCCAGTAATTTACATTTTGCAATAACCAAATTTGGAGTTATTCAAATGTTGCACAGATTTTTTTGGATTTGTCTGAAATTTTCAGACTATATTAAACAAAAAAAGAGTTTCTTTTTTGTAATAGGCCATTTTTTTGGAAGAAGCCGAACATTCGATATAAGCGGTTTCAAAAGGGTACAACAGATTTTATATGCACACTATAATAGGATGACCTCCTTTCAACTTTCAGCTCCATTATCTCGATTCCTGTGAAAGCTACTAAAAAGAGATCAGTAGACAAAATATTTTTGAAATTATGGCAAACAATTTGTCTGTTGAGTACTTTTTGATAGCTTTCACAAAAAATGAGATATATGGGCTTAAAGTTGACGGTCGGCTTGGGGAGCATTCCACAGGAGTGTTTACGGTATCTGACTATTTCGAGTTTCTGGTCAACAAATTTTTACTTCTGAAAATCTTCAAATGATGAAAATAATTACAAAAAATACATTTCAACCCAATTGCTATATGATAAGCAAAGTCTGCAAAGGTCAATAAACAAATATTGATCATAAAGATAGGGATCAAAGTAACCCCAGACTGACCACTGGGATCATCCCTTTTGAAGTACAAAGTACCATTTTCGCAACTTTTTTTGCTATCTTATTCTCAAGGGTCTATCCCTATAACCAATAATTTACCCCTCCGTTTTTTTCTCAATGGCAACGATTGCACCACTGGAGTCTATAGCCCCTCCTTATCCTCTCGAACCAAATGTCAAAAACGGATCACGGAGAGCCAGCCTCTCTAATTCATGTCAAAACTGTCGAAAACACATTTGGGGGGTGCGAAAGAAACGAGAGATTCATCTCATTTGTTTGTTGTTTTTAAAGGATCCTGCCTCCCAATATATTCTTCAGATCATATTCTAGATATCCTTCAACATTGGCTCCACTCCAGTTTCAACTCCTTACATTGGTTACTGTCCCAGCGAGGTAGGATTTTTTTTCGGTTTGAAAAAATATTTATTGTTAGGTTAACATTAAAGTGACTTCGAAAAACCTTGAAGGATCCTTAAAGGAGTCTTAAAGGTGGGGGGACAGGAGATTTTTCGTAGTTTTTTTGTAGTTAGAGTATGCATTATACCGTCAAGGTGTACAACGCTTAATGTCACTCTGCGTACAGCTATCATCCTCGCCTTTATGTATGCAATCGGGCGTGCGCTTTCTCTTTGCCCGCGTGGCTCAGTCGGTAGCGGTGCCGCACCCTCAATCATCGCCCTCACAAGTTCAACTCCTCGAGGGGCATCTTTGAACGGAATTTCGAGAACATTATTTTTTTCATGTCCCCCCACCTTTAAAGAAGTCTTGAATGAACCTTAACTTATCGTAGCCACTCTAATAGAATCTTCTGCTTTGAGCCATTTTTTTTCGGTTACAGTAAGAGATATCGAAAAGTGGTTAACTGACAAATTGTTTCAAAAGTTACAATAAACATTTTATCTGTTGACCAGTGTTTGATATCTTTCACGGGAGATGAGATGTGTGAACTCAAAGCTGATGGCTTGGAACGCCTTCTATGTGATTGTTTATGTTGACTCTCGGTTCCTATGAGAGATATCAAATATCTAGAATATTCCCATTTTTCAAGAACCTGAAATTTCGGAATTATGCCAAATACTCTGAATTCTTGTCATTAATTACAGTTTCAATTGAGAACCATTATCTAATTTTGAAAAAAAAAGAAATTCTGAAAAATTGTTTACCGTACCGTATCCTCTCTGTTAGAATGCTCTTCAAACCGTCGACTTTGAGCCAATTCATCTCGTTTTATGTAAAAGATATCAAAAAGTGGTAAACTGATAAAATGTTTATCATAATATCAAAAACATTTTGTTAGTTGACAATTTTTTGACATCTTTAACAGGAATTGAGATAAATCAGGTGAAAGTTAGAGGGTCATTCTGAGCTACGCGGCAGCACCCTCCTCCCCTCAACTTTGAGCCTATTTATCTCATATACTGTGAAAAATACCAAAAAATGGTTAACTGATAAAATGTAAAAAAATTATGATAAACATTATATCAGTTGACCACTTTTTGATATATTAAATAGGAACCGAGATGAATAACCTCAAAGTTAAAAATTAGGGGTTACGGGCATTGCTTGAATGAAACGGGTTCTATTATGCTTGTCTGAGAAAAAAAGGTTAGAGAGTATTTTTTGCAGTCGGAATACGGTAGCGATATCGAAGCGGAGAGCCTGAATAGCACACAAACAGTGGAGACGCAGACACTTTTTCTCTGCGGCTCAACCTTTTTTTCTCAGACAAGCATAATATGTCGTAACCTTAAGAAACCACTTTCCCAATTATTCAAAATTTTTCCCAGAAATTTTCCAAACGAGTAAAAAAAGCGGAAGTCCAGATTTTCGCAGGTTACTGTAGTTCTCGTTTTGGAACCCAGTTGTTATTCTGACTGAAGATCTTGCACAATAGCGAGAAACACTACAAATTCTGAAAATTCTAAAACACTAAACATTTTTCGACAATTGCAAAAACTGAGATTTACGAGGTTACGGTAGTTTTTGCATTCTTCCAGATGCGTACCGATGTGGGCTCCATCTCTTTAATGTGTATTCTCTCCACACTGACGTCCGGCGTCTTCGGATATCTACCAACCGAGGACCTCACCAATTCCATAATCCCTGGAAATGGCGGATTTCCAGTTGTACCTACAGACACCATCATTCCAACAGATGGTGATGAAGATGGTGAGTTTTTAATCGCGCTCTACCGCACTTTTTTTGCGTGCATTATCGTATCTGCTATGGGAGGAGCCCACTCAACTTTGAACTCAATTATCTCGATTCCTATGGTAGATATCAAAAATTCGTCAACTGATAAAATATTGGTGATATTTTGATAAAGAATTTATCAGTTGACACTTTTTCGATATCTTGTATAACGCAAACATTTTCCAGGCTCCCCAGACGAAGATTCAGAAGACACGGACATCTATCGAAAGAAGACGTCGACATTCAGAAGACGTAACATAAATGCTCCATTCGGAGGACGCGTCCCCTTCAGCAGAATGGCTTATAAGTCCGGGTATGGCTCGAATCGGGGATTTCCAAGACCGATGGGCAACGGTTTCTACGAACGACCATCGAATCCATATGGTACCGTTAATCTTGGTGGTGGATCCCCATACGCCCCACCAGATGAATACAATGTGCGCCCCACTGCACCATTCTCCGGGCTGATTGGTGGAAGTCGTGCTGGCTACTACGGGAGTACTGTAGGCATGAGAAGAGGAGCTGTACCGCCGATGAGCTCGAGGAAGTCAAAAATGGGTCCGCCACAAACTGAATATCCACGTAAGCATGGAGCTTTGCTTCTTTTCTCAAAAATCAGACAATAAATTTCAGCTGACTACGCTTCCAACGATCTTATGAGTAGCTTCAATGGAGCTACCAACTCAGCAATCCCTTCTCTTCGGGAACTTGCCACGTACGCTTCACGCTATGGTCCCGCCTATCTTCGTGAACGATTCGGAGCTCATGAGGAACGTCTTCCGTATGGTGGAGGACCACAAGTGCCACCACGTGGCGGTGGAATGCCAATTGACTTCAATATGAACATTGCGTCGAACCATTGGAACAAAGGACCGATGGGAATCATGTCGAGAGATGTTGATTCTTATCAACATGACGATGCGGCGAAAACAAACAAAAAGACATCAACCACCACTACCGGCTCGCCGAGCACGAGCACAAGGAAACCGAGGAAGGCGAGGAAACCAGCCAAGAAGACCAGCACCACGACAACCACAGTGAAGCCGATGAAGACGAAGAAGGCAGCTGGAAAAGAAAATTGAAAAATTATCACACAAATTGTACAATTGAAGATGCCCCTATATAAAACATCTATTTCACCTATATTATTGAATAAATTTATTCATCAAAAACCGAGGAACAAATTTAGTCTAAAAGTTTTGATTCCGACGAGTATGCTCTCGAAAGGAGAATCACTATTAACAACAAGAGGGTACGATACGAGAACCGGTCAATCAATAGGGGGGACGAAAGCGAAACAGTAGGTACAAAATGAAGAAGACTGGAAGCACCAATACAAGTGGGAGGGGAGGTGGAGAAATAGTACACTTTAAAATTTAGGAATTTTTAAATAGTACATTATTGAGTTGGAGGGAATTCGTGAGATCTACATTTCTATGGGGTTGGGGTGGTTGGAGTTGGCGATCCGGCGGTAGCAGTGGATGGAGACGAGGTCTTATCCTTAGCTGGAGCTGGCTCCTTGGCTGGCAAACAGATGCGTGGCTTGACGGTAGACGAAGTGCGAGCAGATGAGTCTTTGTGAACCTCGTATCTAATAGAAATCGTTCATGTTGCCTGATAAATTAAAAAGCATTTTCTTACCTCAAGATATCGGTATCTGGAATGCTGAGCTTTTGCTTGAGAATCTGTCCGATACGAAGGTTGACATCGTCGCGAGTGGCATCACGAGTCCACAGCGACACCTTATCTCCCTTCTGACGAACGTTGACGACAGCTCCGCAGACGTACTCTCCGAACTCATCGAATTGCTCTCCGACGATGGCCATGAGGAGTTCAAGCCAATAATGATCGAGCAGTTGTGTTCTTCTCTGAAGCTTCTAGGAATTAATGAAATGAACAATCCTTAAAACTAACTTGTTTGTCAACGACAACCAACCAACGACCCCCTTGCACGTTGTTCACATCCTCCCACATTGGTTTGATTCCCTCCTTGAAGAGATAGTAGTCGGATCCCCAGTTCAAACCGCCGGCCGATTGTATGTGGTTGTAGAGAGACCAGAACTCCTCGACGGTGTCGAAAAGAGATACCATCTGAAATAAACAACAAGTTTTTTCGTTAGGAGAAGCCTGAATTACCTTCAAACAGTCCTCCCACTCCTTGTTGCGGTCGGCCTTCAAATACCAGAGTGCCCATCGGTTTTGAAGGGGATGTCTGGTGAGAAGCTCTGGTGGGATCGATGTTTCCGTTTTGCCATCAGCTCCGACAGCGGTCACTGCGCTGTTTGCAGCTACTGTTGTTGTCATTTTTCTGCAAATTTATGATTTTTTTCAAGGCTGAAGCTTCCGAGCAAAAAGAAACGATGAAAAGTAGCTTTAATGACGAATTAACTTCGAACTTTCATATTTTTCACATTTTTCTCTCCGCTAATCGATGAAAATCAAAGCAAATAGACTTCTTGTTTGCTTATATCGGCATTTTCTGTGACCAACTTCATTTCAACGGAAAATATCGATTTTCTAGACATTTTTCAAGCAGCGACACATTTAAAAAACTCTTTTACAGCTTTTGCAATGAGAAAATTAGCTGGAAAATGGCTTCTGTCCAACTTCGTTTTACATGAAAAATAGCGATTTTCTAGGAATAACCAGCGACACATTTGAAAGCAGCTTTTTACCCTTTCAAAATTTCAAAGTGAAAAAATTAGCTAAAAAATGGGGAAAATGAAGACAAAGAAGTAAAAATGCCGGCGCCTCGGTGAGCGCGCGAAGGCTCGAAATTCAAACACAAGGAGGACACAGAGAAAACGAGTGTGACCGTACTATTTTCGCGGCGGTAGACGGCCTTCGAAGAAAATGCGCCTCCCTTTGAAGGAGAGTCGGGCGGATTCTGAAAATCATCTGAAAATCAGAAAATTCTACTGGAAATTGTCTACTTTTTGGAAAAACTGTGAAAATTTATGTTTAAAAATTAAAAAAAGAGTTTTTCCAGCGATGAATCTCAAACTTCCGTCTGATAATTGCTGAAAATTTTCATTCGAAAAAAAATCTGGAAAAAAACAACCAAAAAAAAAAAAAAAATTTCTGAAAAAATGCAATGTCTTTGTTTACAGCCGGCTCTCTCAATTTCTTCAATTTATCCACGAGTGTGTGTGCGTCTCCTATTTTTTTTTTGCTCGATTCTCGCCATCGTCGTCAGGAATTCATGAGCCGTCTCAGTGTCTCTCTCGTGTCCTCTCTTTGGAGTATACATACACAGAGCAAGAGCAGGAGCCTCCACGACATGCAGATGTAAATATATCGGAGCTCCCAGCAAGTGCTGCTACTGACTGCTTGCGCCTTCCTCTCTCCCTCTTCGAATCGCTCCATCTCCTCCGTTGTTTTCCCCGCTGCCCCGTAAAAAGGTGGCCGCGAATAGTTCGCCGAAACCTAGAGACGCAGGAGAGATGCGTTGCCCCGAGGCGCCATCCATCTAACCGTCTGCGTGTCAAAGGATCTCCACCACGACGACGTCGTCGACGACTTCTTCTTTTCTACTCCCTCTTCGCCTCGCCTCGCCACATCGATTTTCGCGTTGTGGTGAGGGAGTTGGTGTGGTGTGAGCCCCATCGTGTCGACGTCTTTTTTCGGGAGCATCGCGACGACCCTCGTTCGCATTTTTTCTGCGTCTCGCACTATCTCCCCTGGTCTCCTCCTGCTCCCCAAAACCATGACCGTCATAATTACCACGTTGTCCACGTAGAAAAAGAGAGAGAAAGAGTCTTCGAGTCCGTCGTCTGTCACGCCCCCTCCTATTCGAAGCATTTTTTTCAACACCGCTACGTCACAAAAATTGAATGTATTGTGAATATAAATAGCTGAATATATGGAATCACAAAACTAGGATATTTTCCAATTGAAATTTGACTTAAGCCCTCATGTGTGTGCTGCAAAAAATAGTTTTTGGTTTATCAAAAGACCAATGGAAGAGGAAAAAATGTTTATTTACACGAAGACAGCAGCAGCCAGGAAATTCTAGAGTATGCTAACATCAAAAAGGTGTTTGCATGTATGTATTCAAGTTTAACTCATTTTTCTTTTTTTTTTTCCTACAACAAAGCTTTCGCCTCATCTCACTAAACCGAACGTTCATATACGAGTTACACACATTTCCTCCCCACGTGGCTCGCTCGGTTAAATTTGCAATTTGAATCTGACCCTTTTTGGTTCGAACCCTTCTCTTATATAAAAGTTTTATCGGCGTTTTTAATAAGTTTCTTATCATTTTAAGGCGATTTTCGAATAATTTGTGAGTAAATAATCGAGGGAACCCCTTTTTGAGCCCTCTAAAACGGTTGGCGGGGCATCGTGGGGATCCTCTTGTGCAGATACGTTATTGAATTATGCCTGTCAGAGCACAGCACCCCGAGACACATACACAAGTAGTCAAAGAGTGTCTTCGACTAAAAAAAAGAAGAAGTGGATCTCTTTCTTCTTTTTTTTTCTTATTTCGGCGGTTTCTCACTTTTCTTCATCCTTATTTCTTTTTTTTCTGGCCGGTTCCCTAAAGATTTTCACAGATTTCTTCCTTTTGTTGTTGCCATTTTTTAGCATATTCAAGTTTTCAATAGAGCGAAATTTCGTTATTAAAGCCAATAAAATGTAAGCGAAACCATCGGTTGTTTGTACGCCCAAATTGGTTTTCCACTTTTTTTCTCTCTGCGTCTCTTCGCCTTCCGTTGTCTCTTGCACTCTTTTTCGTTTTCAGTTTCACCCTGCATTGTTTCCATATAGACATTTCTAGAACTAATTGGTTTTTCTTCTCTTGGGCTTGTTTTTGTCTTTTGCCTGTTTTTTTTTGTTCAAAAAAAAAGATAAAATCTGGGCTGAGAGAATTCAAAAATGAGATTTGGTAACCTTGAAAAATCTATGACATCACTGTTGTTCGGCTAATTGGAAGAAACCAAAAGTTTTCGAGACAAGAAAAAATAGAAGGAGACATTTAAAAATAGAAGAAAGAGTGACTAAAAACCAAAGATCTCAAGAATTCCGGATTCGGAAAATCATCAAGGGCTTTTGAAAAATTAAGTATATTTTTTCAAAAGTCCCAAGTTTCTGAGATGTTTCGGCTTTTTGAAAAATTTTCCAAGTTTTGGTCTTTTGGGGATTTTATGGTTTCTGGCTTTTTTTAAACGTTTCCGATTTCCCGATTTCTGAATTTCTGATTTTCAGAATTTTTCAATTTTCCGAATTTCTGAAATTCTGTGTTTTCACTTTTTCACCTGAGTGCTCGTCTGTCACTCTTTCGATATTCCAAATGTTCTGAATTTTTGAATTCCTAAATTTTTAGATATCCGAATTTATGAAAATTTGAGTTTCTGAATTTCTGCATTTCTAAAACTTTGAACTTCTGAATTCCAATTTTCTCAATTTCCAATGTATCGAATTTTTAAAATTTGAAGATTTGGAATTTCTGAAATTTTTCTTTTTCCAATTCTGACACTTCGAATTCCGAATTCCTGATTTTCTGAGTTTCCATTTTTTCGTATTTTTCGAATTTCGGAATTTTCTTTTTATTTTAAATATTTTTTGCATTTTTGGAACTTGGCTTTTGAATTTCTGTATTTCTGAATTTGAAATGTTTCTGAATTTTAGAACTACGTATCCAGATTTCCGGATTCACAAATTCTGAATTTCAGATTTTTTAAATTCTGAACTTCAAATTCTGAATTTCACAATTTTCGGTTTTCCGAATTTCGAATTCCTGAGTTTCTGAATTACCGGTTTTTATTTTCATCCCCTTCTGGTACTCCAAATTCTGATTTTACGAACTTCTGTGTTTCACAATTTCAGAATTTTTAAATTTCGGCATTCAAAGTTTTTTTTAAATTTCGAAGTTTAATATCCGGGTGTTGCGAATGTTTGAACTTACCAATTTTTTGCATGAGAACTCGAAGAAAATTTCCATTTTTAATCTGTCTGCTAAAGCTTTTTTCTACGCCTTCCTCTTTTTTTTTGGTTGAAGGCGTTCAAAATGATCAAGAAGAGAATTTCATCGCCGTACACTTTGAATAATGTGCCTGGCTACAATTCAAAAAGAGATTTTTCTGCTAGATGTTCTGGTATTCTAATAATCTTTTTCTGTTCAGATTTCTTATTTTTTAATTTCTGATTTTCCGATTTTTCAGGAACTTGGAATTTCAAGTATTAAGAATCTTGAAAATCCCGAGAAGTCAGAATTTCTGAATTTCTATAATTTCGGAAACCTTCAAAATCTCAGAATTTTTTAGAATTTCCAAATTCTCGTGTTTCTGAATTTCTGGTCAACCGAATTTTTTATCTTCCGCTTTTTGAGTATCAGAATTTCAAGGTTTCAGAATAAAAAAATCTAAGAAACTTCTATATTTTCAACATTCTGAATTTCTGATTTACCAAACTATTGAATTTTGGAATTTCAGAATCTCAGAATCCGAAAATTGCCGAATTTCATAATTTTAGAGCTTCCGAATATCAGAACCTCAGAATTTCAAAATTTGAGAATCTTAGAATCTCACGATCCTTGAATATCAGGATTTTCAGTGTTTCAGAATTCCAGAATTGTAGGTTTACACAATCTCAAATTTCCAAGAATAAAAAGTCAGAATCCCCCTTTAAACTTCTGAATCTTGGAATTTCAGAATTCAGATTTTCAGAACCTTAAAACTACATTATTGTAGATTTTAAGAATCTCAAAATCCTAAAGCTTCAGAATCTTGAAATCCTAGTATTTCAGAAGTTCGGGAATTCCAAAATCCTATTCCATCCTCCTCTAAATCATTCTGCTCTCTCAAGAATCCCCGGAATTTGTTATCAGACTCCCAAACATTTTTTATCACCTCTCTCCCTCATTCTGTAACAAAAAACCTTGTCCAATGGAAAGGGAAACTTCGGGAAAGACCACACGTTTAATGTTCTAATAAAACATGGGCCCACTTTTTTCGCCTTCCCCTCCATCTCTTGGATGCTCTTTCTTTTTTTGCTCACTCTTCCAAGTTTTCAACTCTCTCTTCTTTTTTTCTTCTTCCATCCTTCCACATCCCTTCATCAGTGCCGCCAAGGAGAAGAGTCAGTGTTACGCCTAGTTCACTTTTTCTTTCTTTTTTCCTTTTTTTTAGAATTTCTCACTCACATTTTTTTATATTCCTCTGCCTTCTTTTCAATTTTATCTCTCTAGTTGTTTTGTTTCGTCGGCATCGTCGTCGGTAAAAAAATCTATTACAAAAGAATTGAGATTCTTTTCTAGCACCACGTTTTTAATAGCTGTAATGGAAAAATGTTTAGGGGTGGGA